TTGGTTAGACTATTCACGTCAAGGGTTCTGGGGCAGATGCGAGGAGGTCATTTTGCACAGAGGAAGTGCCCCTTAGGTGCCAGCCTTCATTTTTTCTGAGGTCTTTAGGTTCAGAATTTCCGGTAGGATGTAGGGGGCAGGAATAGAGGGAGGGTGCCTCACCCCCTCGTGCCTCCCCCAGCAGCAGAAGGCCACGCCCCTCGAACGCGGCCGCCATCAGAGACGCCTGGCCCATTCGGGGGGCTGGGTCCCCATCAAAGGTGAGCCTGGGCCTCCTCCTCCCCCCCACCGGCCCCAGGGCGGGCTGGGATGGCGCCCAGGGCGCTGGTTGGCCGCGAGCTCCCGGGGCTCAGGCCCCTCCCAGCCCCATGCCCCCTGCTCACGCAGACTACAGCTCGGACCACCAGGCGGCCGACATGGCCGAGATAGACGCCCACCTGAAGGCCTTGCAGGAATACATGAGCCGGCTGGACACGCGGTCGTGACCGGCGAGGGGAGCCGGCCCCTGCATCCCCATCCCCCGGGAGTCGGCGTGGGGCGGGGCCTGCGTCCTTCCAGCACCTCCCATTCTGGGAGGTTGGGGCCTTGAGGGAGGCAGAGACGGAGGGACGCGGGCTGCAGGACACAGGGTCACAGTGAGTGCATCTTTATTGGAGGGGGAGGCAGGGGGTTTCTGACTGGGTGAGGGAGACAGGGCCTCAGTATCGGTAGTGTGGCCAAGTCTGGATGATTTCATAGAGCTGGTCACCTGGAGAGAGTGTCTGCTGCACGTCCCGGTGTCCTTTGACCTCATAGTTGGGACTCAGGGCGCCCCGAGCCACTCCACAAGCCAGCAGACTCTGGGCGGCCCTGAGGGCTCGTTGCGGGGGTGCCCGATCTGGGGAGGCAGAGGCAGGAGTCAGGCTGGGCCCTGGACGGGCAGAGGTCCAGGGGGCAGTTGTTCCCATGGTGCCCTCCCAGCTGGGGCCCACAACCAGCTCTGCCACTCCCTAGCCGTGGCTCCACCTCTCTGTGCCTCAGTTTCCTCACTGTGACAGGACAGAATCATGGCAGCTGGCCCCAGGGCTGTGGGACGATAACATGTCACTTTGTGCACAGAGGAAGCCCTCAGCAAGGGTTGGCTGTCAAGATCCTTGCTGAGCCTCCTTTCTCGGCCCCAGACCTCGGGCTCCTCCCACAGGGCAGCGTCCATTCACCCTGTGCTCCTTCGGGGCCGTGGACGGACCCACCTGGTACAGATGACCGAGTCCTCCCCAGGACCGCGGGCTGGAAACGGTCATGTCCAGAGGGGACAATGAGGCTCCGAAAAGCAGGTCACTAGCCCGAGGTCACAGAGCTTGTAGGTGGCAGAGCCTCTGAACCACCACCCACCACGCCCTGCGGTCCCCCAGGCCCATGTCCGCGCCTGTCCCGACGGCTGGACAGTCACTTACCCATGTAGTTACCCATGAAGCTGATGCCGATGGACTTGGAGTTCCAGCCTCCTCCTGCGTGGGCGCCCTGAATGTCCCAGCCCCGGCCCTCATACACAAGCCCATCTTCTCCGATCAGGAAGCTGTGGGGTGGGGGGTTGAGGAGTGAGGAGGGGTTTCCTGGGGAAGGAGCCCCTGTCCCTCCTCCACTCAGCAACCCTGAGTCACTACTGCCTCTATTCTGCGGATGGAGAATCAGAGAGGTGCAGAGCTGCCCACGGTCACACAGCGGGTCAGGGGCACAGTCAGGATTTTCACCCAGGTCCCCATGACTCCCACCCACACGGTCTGACTCCTTGCTCTCTCCTGCCTCCCTGGAGAATCTGTCCTGCTCTCGATGAGTCCTCACATGCGGTCCTCCGAGGCAGGCCCTGTGTCATCCCCACTTTAAGCTGAGGAAGCAGAGACGTAGGAAGAGAAGTGATTTGCCTGAGGTCATGCCCTGTGACCCCTGCCTCTCAGAACTCGCCAACAAGGAGCTCTTCCACCGTCACCCGAGCCCCTTCCTACTTCCTGCTCCATGCTGGAGTGCCCTGAGTGACGGGATCAGGGACTCAAGGGCTGGCACCACAAGCCGACCAAACCCTGGAGCCCCAGCATCCGCCTGTGAGCTTTCCAGTCCCGGCAGGCGATCCTTAAGACCCCTCGTCCCCCTGGTCTCGGTGGAGCGAGTCTGCCTGGCATGTGGATGAGCCAGAGGAGCAGCACGCGAGCCGCAGTGTCTGCTTCCCCAGCCCTCGGCCCCCAGGGTCCCCAGTGATGCACAGAATGTCGGAACTTTCCCCTCTGGGTCCTGAACCTGCCACTTCGGAAGCCAGACTCTCAGAGTCTGGCTGTGAAGAGACTAGAAATGCCACAGTGACACTTCCCCCCAATCACTCCCCCAGGACTAGGTGGTCATGGTCCTGCCACAGCCACAGTCTGCTGACTTCATGGAAACATCTAGAATGGCGCACCTGACTCTTGGGAACAAAACCTTGATGTTGGAGCCTTTGAATCGTAAGATTAGAGCCTGAAGCGCTGGGGATACCCGTGGAGGCTTCTAGATTTCTCTGGTTGAGGTCCTCAGACCCCCTGGCCTCCCCACCCACTCCTGAAGCAGTTAAGGGTGGGACCTGGGGACCTGTGTTCCCAGAAGGGGATTCTGGGGCGGCCTGAGGTCTCAGAACCTGTGGGGTCAAAACGCTCTCTGGCAGTGGGACCCCGTGTGCTGAACCCCAGCCTGTCACCCTGGACAGGACGCTGGTGGCATGGGCCCCAGAGGCTAACCCGTCCCTGTTCCTGCCCCTCGCCCTGGAGTCTGTCCCCCCACAGCAGCCAGAGGGCGCTCCTTCCACTGCTAAGCTCCGACCATCCCGAGGCGCCTGCCTTCTCAGAGCAGAGCCACGTCCTCCCTGTGGCCCACTAGGCCCTCCGACCCTCCTCATGCCATCCTGGCTTCTGTCCCTCAGGGATGACCCACGTACTGGCCTCAGGGCCTTTGCCCCACCCGCTGTCCTCCTAGCTCACTGCACTCTTCCCTCAGCTCCCCCATCCTCTTCCTTTTTATTGTCACTCCTGTCACCATGTGACTCCATCCACTGACTCTGCTTGTTTCTCCCTGCTGGTGTTTAAACCTTTGGGCTGCATTCCCACTGTGCGTGGCTGTGTCCCTATGCCAGCATCTGGCACGTGGCCTGATACATAGTAGGTGCCAAAGGCAATAGTCCGTGCATCTGGGGCCCGGACTCCATGCCAGGCGGTGTCCTGGGAGCCTTGCCCGCAGTGGCGGTTGGCGATCACGTGGGCACCATCCGCTGACTGTGCACAGGAGGAGGACACTGCAGCTCAGAGACTGAGTGACCGGCCTGGGTCTCTGCCGTCAGCAGGGGAGCTGGGACAGGGACCCAGCCCCGCGCTCACCCAGCCTGCTGTCTGCCTCCCAGCACAGGCGCAGACAGTCTAACGGGACTCCAGGGTGGAGGGCACCTTGGTGCGTGTTGGCAAAGTCTGTCCTTCCCCGGGGAGCAGAGCTGGCCGTCAGCCCCTTCCCCTCCTCCAGCATTTTCGTGCTGCCTGCATGTGCCCAGCCCTAGGCGGTGACCCCGGAGTAACGAAGCTGCCGGGGGCGTCAGCCCGGCGGCTCTAGAACCGGGACCCCGTGTCTCCTGGGCCTGCACACCTTCCCCTCCTCCGGCCTGGCTCCTCCTGTGCCTCCCCTCCGCACTCACTTGTAGGTGACGTCGCACCAGCCCCGCGTCCGCACGTGGTAATGCTGCACGTTCTGGACCTGCCTCATGCAGGAGGCTGGTGTGTCGCAGGGGCTGCCCGCCGTGTGTGACACCACCACACAGCGCACGGGCAGGTCCAGGCGCTGTTTGCACGTGGACGGCAGGGCCCTCCACTCTCTCCGGGGCACGATGGGGCTGCATGGGGTCAAGTCTTCTTGAGCCACTCCGAGTCCGAGGAGCGTGAGAAAGGTCCAGGCGAGCAGGGCACAGGGGCTGGACATGGCGGGCAGGGCACACAGGGACGTCTAGGAGCTTGCAGCTGGACAGGCTGCCTTTATATGCTGTGGTGGAGCGGCAGGAAAGGCCTTGCTTCACACCTTGGCGGGACTTCCCCTGTAGCTGATGGGGACCTCAGATTCTGCTTCCTTCTCTGTTAGGGCCGCCACCGGATGCAGTGTGGTGGGTCCAGGTGAGGTGGGGCGGGGAAGCCCACCACAAAGCCAGGCGGAAGGGGAAGAGCACACAGGGCCTTGGGCGCTCACCCCGAGGTTTCTGGCCGACCAGGGCCTGGATCCCTGCCCCCCCCCATAAGGCCTCGGGCAACGGGAGCCCCACAGCAGAGAAAGGGCTGGGCCTCATCTCCCTCCGCCCACGGGGACTGAGGTCACCAGAGTCCAGGTTATAAACTCTGCTCCCACGTCCCAACGCGATGTCCCTAACCCTTTGAGCAGACTGCAGAGCTGAGCCCTGGGAAGCCCGCTCCACGGTGGAGGAGCCTGAGGTCCGGAGAGGGGACGTCGGTGCTGAGACGTGGGAGATGGTGGCACCTGCTGGTTGGAGCCCTGATTCAGGGCCGGGCTGCCTGGGACTGAATTCAGGGCCCATTCTAGGGTGTGAGCTGGGGCCAGTGACCTAACCTTTCTGTGCCTCAGTTTCCCCCCTGTAAAATGGGAGGATAATGGAAAGTCCCTGACTCCCAGGTCGATGTGGGATCAAATGGGCTGAAAGGGTGGAGTACTGAGACGTTGGCTCCTGCTGCCCCACAAGCACCCCGGGACAGGGACTGAGACCTGCCCTTGGTGTGAGCCATGTGCTTTCCGTGGGGGCCACTGGCAGCTCCATTGTGCACAGGAGGGGCTGAGGTCCAGAGAGGGACAGCCATCTGCCCAGGGCCACTCAGGGGCTTGGGGTCAGCTGTTGGGGCAGAAGGCTTTCCTGGGACCCCTGCCCTTCCCGGCTCGTTCCTCCTGCCTCCTCAGCATCTGGTGCGCTCAGGGCGGACGGCCCAGTTTGTTCTCCCTCCTTTCCTTCTACTTTAGTGGATTAAATAAATTACAAAAGTATCACGTGCCGGCTGTGAGTAGTCGAATCGACGGGAAACGTTAATCACCTGTGTCCACTCGGTCCAGCCCCGCCCCCTGAGGTCCCCGTGGAGGCCAGCGTGGGGTTTCCTTCCCCGGTATTCTCCGCGCGCAGGTGGATCACGCTCACACTCACGGTGTCATGGCACAGTGCAGCGGGCAGCTCCAGCACCTTCCACGAGTCATCTCCCCACGAGCTCCCACAGGCCTGTGTGGGAGACGTGTCATTAACCTGCTCTTACCACCGAGGAAACTGAGGCCCGAGGGTTATCACACACGGGGAGAAGGTGGTGACGTCGGCTCAGCCACAGGCTTCCGGGCTCCAGAGATTAAGTTCTAAGCCATATTCTGCTTCCCACAAACATATATAAAGACACATTTTCAAAAAATGATAAAATCAAAAACGTGTGCATCTGTTGTCCTTTTTGCCACCTAATATTTCATGTGCATCTCTCCAGGTGTATACATCAAATTCCAATTCATTCTTCATCATTTGGACATATTCTTTTGTTTTTTGAAGCTTTCCAGCCTCCTCTTTTAATGCTGCACCAAATATTATCGAACATACATCTCTACACACTGGAACGTTTATAAATTTTAAATATAGACTTTCCTGGTCAAAGGGTTTACATATTTAATAGCTGTTACCAGATTGTTGTCCCCCAAAGGCTGTTAGCAATTCTGCCTCCACCAGGAATGTATAGGAGCTTCCACTCACCCAGAAGTGGGTGTTCTCGCTTCTTAAATGTATGGGTATAAAGTGATATCTCTTTGTAACTTTAATTGGCATTTTTATGACCACTCAGGAGACTGAGTATTTTTCTCTGGTTGCTGCCCATTTGGATTTGTCTTCTGTCAATCGCTTCTTCATCTCCATGACCTATTTTTAAAATGAATTGTGTTGTTTGCCATTTTGTTATTAATTTGCAAAATGAAGAAAAGAATTCCATAGCTGGGATTGTTGACTTGTTCAGTATGTACATTTTGTGTCTAAGTTCTTTTTGAAAGCACGAAAGAATAACATACACATAGAAACATACAAACGCACTTTTTATAGGGTAAATAGGATAGAATTTATAGTTAATAGGATTAATAGAGTGGAGAGCTCTATAAATTTTCACACCGTGAATACACTGTGCATCCAGCACCACGCCCAGGAAATAGAGCCACATTTTAAATTTTAGTAGATACTGTCAAATACCATTCCAAAAGTGTTTTAGTTTTTCTTTTCCCCCTTAATGTGATCAGTTATAAAATGCCTTACCAATCCAAAGAATTGTTCCTCATTATTGTTTTATTTGTATTTCTTTGAACATCAGACCGATGATTGTCTTTTTACGTATTTGTGGCTGTTTGCATCCTTGTTCTGTAAACTGTCTGTTCGTCTCTTTCAATCATTTCCCTTTTGGGTTATTGTATAGGGCAGATATGAACCCTGCATCTGTCAAATGTGCTGCAAACGTTTTCTCCCAGTCTATCAAAAATTTTTTTTAAATGATTTCTGTTTCCTGCCTTGCCATAAGACGTCTTTCCACACCAAGATTATAAAATATTTTCCATTTAAAAAATATGTTATCTCGTGTTTTGCATTCAGTCCTTTACCTCTGCTGGAATTTACAATAGCTATGGTGTGAGGTAGGGGTCCAAGTTTGTTTCTAAATGGCAAACCACTTGTCCCAGCACCATTTATTAAATAGTTAGACCTGGCTTTAAATTTCAGCCCTGCCACTTATTGGCTGGATGACCTTGGGCAATTGGGCAGCACTTGATACAGTTGACCACTTCCTTCTTCTCGAAATGCTCCCTTCCCTGAGCTTGTGTTTCATAAGACCGTCTTGATTTTCCTTCTTCTTCTCTGGCTGGGCTTTTCTTCTCCCTTTCAGACTCATTCTTCCCTCCCTGACCACTACACTACACTTTTTCTGCCAGGTGATCTTATCCAGATAATGGCTTCAGCCACCATCAAAATGCAGGTGATTTCCAGACTCTTATGTCCAGCCAGGCGCTCTCAGCTGAATTCTGGATCTGTGTATCCACCTGTCTTCTTGACATCTCCCCTTGGATGTCCCAAAGCACCTCAAATGCAAGATTTCCAAAATGGCACATGATTTGCACCTCCAAAGTCAGCCCCCTTCCGGGATCCCTGTGTCAAGGAAGGAGATGAGCATCTTTCAGCTCCAAAAGGCAGACATCTGAGCACCATCCTCAACTCCCCCCAGCTCTCTCCCCTAATGGCACCCAAAACAATGCCCAACTCATAGCAAGTGCTGAATCAATAGTGACAGAATGATTGAATATCCCATCCACCCTCAAGTCATGTTACTGTTCCCTCTAAATATCTGGTGAAGTAGACCGCTCCTGTCTGTTCCCCTCTCTGCACTCTTGTCCAGTCACTATCTCGTCGCACCTGGTCTTTTCCCCACCTCCTCAATAGCCTCTTAGCATACACCCTGGTCCCTGTGAGGCCAAAGCTCAGATCTGATCAGGTGAAGGTCACCCTCCAATGTGAGTCACATTTCTCCATGGCTTCTCAAGACTCTCAGGATGAGTCCCAAGCTCCTCACCGAGGCCACCAGCACCAGCTACCTCCACCCCAGCCTCACCTCGCTCTCTCCCGAGACCCTCTTCCTGAGTCCCCAGCCACCCTGCCTTTCTTGCCACCCTTGAAGATGCTTTGACTTCCTTGACCCCAGGGGACTTTAGGCACACTCTGCACAGTTTTAAATAGAGGAACCTTCAGAAATTCAGCAACTTTGTACCTTCACTCAAAGATTACAAAACACTCAGCTAGGCTTTTGTAAAAAGACAGGAATATTTACACATCAGATTCCTTAATGATACTAAGAATAGGCTCATTAACCAGGTGGGGTGAAGTCTTCCCTTGTTAGAATTTTATTAATTCTGTCTCTTGTCAGCCTAATATGGAGACACACCCTTGAGAGCATTTCCTGCAACTTCCATCTGTAACTGTATCGCCTTTCACCCTGAGGCTGTATTAGTTGTGTCCTTTTTGGATAGGAGGAAATTATATAGATCCCCTGTATGTTTTAGGAAGTTGAATTTTTAATGAGTTAACTCACCAACTCCCTTTATTTCGTCTTGTTAAGGTTAATTTAACCAGTATAAGAAGTCCTCAGATTCTCTTGCAATTAGCAGAAAACACTTGTTTTCTTTGTTGGATCAACAATGATAGAAGTCAAAATAATGGGGATTGTGGCAAGGACAAGTTTAAACGCAGGGTAGGATCATGACTTTTTTCCTGACGTTCCAAAACCTGGAATACTCACCTCCCTCCCTCGCCCCATCCTAATGGTACTTAGTATTCCTTCAGTGTCACCTTCTCAGAGTGACACCTCATCTTGATATCTCAGACTGCAACAAATCCCACTATTTGCTTTCCCCACAGAATTTCCTCTCCTTCTTTGTATTTATCAAACTGTAGTTATGAACTTACCTGTGTAATTCTGATTAATTTCTGTTCTACTATACACTGAGGTCAATAGGTAGGGTCATCGTGTAATTTATTGTCCAAACCGAGATCCTTGAGAGTGAAGGAGGGAGCTGTTGAGAAGCATGCTGGGTCAATATGTACACACGGGACTGTCCCAAATGGTCCAGGATGTCTAGCTGCTCTGTCTAAAGATAAGAAGGGGCTGTCCTCGCACATGGCTGGTGAAAAATACATTGACTATCACATGTTGAGCCACCCTCAGTTTCCCTACCTGGGAAATGGACCTTTGCCACTCCTCCCCCACAGGGCTGTGGTGAGCATTTAAGTTACTCCTCTCTCCCTTCCATGCTGTACTCTTAGAACCGCGTCATTGTTTGCAGCCCACAGTGAAAGAGGGGGACGTTTTGCTCCCCTTCCTTGAAGGAGCCATAACTACAGAAATTATTCGGAATTCTTCTGCACTGGATATTTGTCTCTTCCTCCCCAATTATTTATGC